TTTTCCCCCCCACAACAAAATAGATGGCAGTGTAGAGAGACCCATCTGGCTGGGCACAGCTGGCTTCCTACACCTGGATTCCACAGCTGGTCCTTGAAACAGCCTGTACTATAGGAGATTCCCCTGACCCCTACACTCACACACTCACACTGGGATTGCCAGCTCTCCTGAGCTCTCCCGAGCCACTATCTGTGGCTAAGAAATTAGCTGGAGAAACCCAAATGGCAGGAGAACCCTGGAGTGCCTCAGTACGAGGGCTCCGAGGCCCCCTGCCCTTGAATCCCACCAGAGAAGAGCCTTCCCTCAGCTTTTAGGGTCTGGAAGGGCTGAGCACCCAAACATTCCCCCTCCTTCTGTGGTAGAGACTGTTCTAGAGTCACAACCCCCTCCTCCGCCTGGAAACCAGCAGGGGCCTTAGACGTTCATGTAGTCTGGAAGCCCAGGTGAGAGTTGCACTCTGCATGCAAATGGTCATGCCAGCACCAAAACAGGTGTAAAAGTGGGAAAGGACAGGCAACTGGAAGTGTGGGTGCTGTGTCCAGAGCTGGAGCCTAAGTAGGGGACCTTGCAGAGTGGGACTTTTAGCATCTGCTTAAGGACAGCCCTCACTCACCTGACTTTCTCAATTTCCCACCCAGGTCTCAGGATTCCGCTGGAAGAATCTCAGCCAAAGTCCTGAACAGCAACGGTGAGTCACCAGTGCTCCCCCATCCCCTGCTGCAGTCCAGAAGAGTGAGGTGCTGGGGTGGCAGGGCAGGAAAGTGGAGCGGGGGAGCATGATGGCATCTCAGCCCTGCCTGGGAGTTACTCGCCCACCTGTAAGCCTAGCTTCCCTGCTGTAGTGAGGGGCTGGAGGGAGTGTGGGCTGTCTGAGGGTGGTAAGGAAGAGAGGCAGGGACTTTGAGTCATTAGGTGCTCCTCAGCCCAGCCAGTTACTCCTCCCTGGGTAGATCTGATCCGCGGGTGGTGAGTGGGGGAGTAGGAGAAGCCTGTGGGAAATGTCCTAAGGCAGGCTTAAGAGGCTTCTCTGGCCTGCCCAGAAAGCTTAATGGGCCCAGGCTGTAGCCAAGCTGTGTCCAGCTGCTTGGGGAAGGTGACCACTTTAGGAAGGACCTGCAGTGTAGGTAGAAGTAGGTGCTCAGCCCAGGACCTGGGGGCCCTTCTCCGCCCATGTCCCATCCCTGATTTGGGCTCGGCTTCCTCCAGTGTGGATCCAGGCCTGTTTGACCCCTGAGCTGAGAGCATACATATATGAGTGATCCTCCTGCCTCGGCCACCATATTAGTTTATTTTTATATTTCTAAAGGGTTGTCAAAAACAAAGGACTATATATGAGAGGGGTCATATGGGGCCTATAAAGGAATCCTAACTAAAATATTTACCATCTAGTCCTTTGCAGTAAATGTTCTTTGGCCCTTGTAGAAAGAAGCCTAGAGAACACTGGGGCGGACACTGAACTTCCAGGCCCCCAGCTCCTGCCCCTGCAGTACATACACGGGGAAGGGCCTGTCCTTCAAAGAGTGAGGGGCTCAGGTGGGAACAGGGAGGTGGTGTGAAACCTTTGGGGGATGTCTGGCTCAGGCTGGGACTCCAGAACCCCAGTCTCCAGGCTTAAATGAAGGACCTTAGGCTGCTCTGCTGCTGCCTCTGGCTGGCGGGAAGGAAGGGGGGTGGGGTGGGTAGAGGAAACTAGGTTCCCCCATCCCAGAGAGAGGATCTGGAGGCGCTCCAGACCATTGTGTCCAGTGGTAGGCCTTCGGTGCGGGAAGGGGCGGGCAGCCCCAGGCTCCCTTCCCCCAGCCTTCACATCTGGTGGGCTGGCCCCAACACAGCTGGGAGGAGCTGCTGTGGTCTGCGCTGAGGCTGAGCCTCGTGACTGGCCTCTGGGGGTGGGGCGTCTTTTTCCAAAGCGGTGGAGAGTGCAGTAGAGCAAGGAGACGCCAGGCTGGGGCTGAATTTGGGGCCTCAGCTAGTCACTGAACAGCTCTGAGGCTCTGTGGAGGGCTGGGGTATATCTAGGTCACCGCTTTGGGGACCAGCCCTTCCGCCTCTAGAGGCCTATTTAATTCTGCTCACCTAACAGAGCTGTTCTTCAAGGCCTGTTTCACTGGGGTCCAGCAAGGACATTCCAAAAATGTATTGTTGAGAATGTCATCAGTGAAGACCACGAATCTTTCCTGGATATTCTAGATCAGACTCCTGAATCCTTGGAGGCTGGAGTTACGGGACTGGCATACTGTTTAGTCCTAATAGTTATGATCCTTGGTTCTCCTGCAGGAAAGTGTTGACTTTGGAGAAGGAAGACAACCAGACTTTTGGCTTTGAGCTCCAGGTGGGATAAACTGGGGACAGAGAGGGGCTGATGGTTGGGAGGTCAGTCTGAGGGATGGACAGACCCTTCTACCCTAGGCTGAGGGTCCCCTTGTTTGTTTCAGACTTATGGGCTTCACCACCGAGAGGAGCAGCGTGTGGAGATGGTGACGTTTGTCTGCCGAGTTCATGAGTCCAGCCCTGCCCAGCTGGCTGGGCTCACACCAGGTGGGGCCTGGGCCCAGGACATGGGGCTCCGGGGGAGGCGGGGTAAGACTTTCCTGCCAGTACAGAAGGAAGAAATCTCTCCTGAAATCAGTCTTTCTTCTTCCTACTTTGGGAAAGCTATAAAAAGAATGGATAAAACCCAAACTTTGAGGACTGGGGATATATATAGCTCAGTGGTGCTGTGCTTACCTGGCCAGCGCAAGGTGCTGAGTTCGATCCCCAGTACCAAACAAAAAAAAAACCCAGACTTTGGGTTTGGGCACATTTGCTATTTCCTGTGTGATCTTACATAGTCCCATGTGCAAAGTGGAGTAATAACATCCTCACATCACATCAGAGTAAGTGGTCTCACCAGGTAGGTGGTAAATGTTGCTGATCCCTAGGAATCGGCTTGCTTCTGCCAACGTGGCAACCCAGCATGGGCAGGAGCTGGGGAAGAGCAACAACCCACTGGGTCTGCTTGATTCCGTGGATCCCTATCCTCCCCCAATCTGGCTCAAGTGTGGAGTGCCTATGTTATCTCTAACAAGTGAATGAGGCCCGGGGATTTGGCTCAATGGTTCCGCCCCCTGCCTCTCAAGCACAAGGACCTGATTTCTATTCCCGGTACCAAAAAAAAAAAAAGCAGATCTAACAAGCGAATGATGCCTCTAGTAGGAGACCCCTGCAACTGGGCAAATGTGTTGTCCCAAGTTTCCAGGATGTGCAGCCTGAGATGATTCAAACCGACTTCCTCTGCTCCATTCTCTCACCATTTTTTTTGGTTTTGTTTTTTAGGTACCTGGGATTGAACTCGGGTCCTTGTGCTTATAAGGCAGGCGGTGGAATCACTAAGCTAAACCCTCAGCCCCTGTTTTGTTTTGTTTTTTTGAGACAGGGTCTCCCTATGTAACTCAGGCTGGCCTTGAACTCACCGGGATCCTCCTGTCTCAGCCTTCTGAGAGCTAGGATTACAGGCATGTGCCACCACACCCACATCTGATTCCATTTTTGTCCCTAGGTTCTTTCTTGCTCACTTACCAGCAGCCCTTAGTATGTTGCAACTTTGTAGTTTCACATTCCTTCTGATCACCTCTGCAGTAACCATGGCAGAAATCCCTACTTCCTACCCGCTTTGCACACATGAGAGAAGCCCTTAGAAATGCTAGCATTCCCTGTCTGGGGTCTGGAGTTTCAACAGTGGCACTAAATATTGTTTTGTTTTTGTTTGTTTGTTTTTGTTGTCGCTTTTTTGAGACAGGGTCTCACTATGTAGTTAAGTCTGACCTGGAACTCACTATGTAGCCCAAGTTGGTCTAGATCTCCCAGCGATCCTCCTGCCTCAGCCTCCCAAGTGCTGAGATTACAGGCAGGCGCCACCACGCTCAGCTGGTTGTGGTTTTATTGGTGTGTATTTGAGATGGGGGAAAAGAGATGTCCTGGACATCTTCTGCGAGGAGCAGGGGAAAGAAATCAGGAGTGCTCCTTGGGATTATCGTATCTTCCCTGGCCACGCCATGGGGCTGGAATTCTTCCCTCCAGCCTGCACCAGGTGCTGACTCTTCTGTGCCTTGCAGGGGACACCATCGCCAGCGTCAACGGCCTGAACGTGGAAGGTATCCGGCACCGGGAGATTGTTGACATCATCAAGGCATCAGGCAATGTTCTCAGGTATGTCTGGTCTGAGCCATACCTCAGGGTTCCTGAGCTCAGTCCCCAAGTGTTTCCTGAGCCCCCAGGCTCACACAACCTCTCACCCCTCCAATTCCTCAGACTGGAGACCCTGTATGGGACATCCATTCGCAAGGCAGAACTGGAAGCCCGACTCCAGTACTTAAAGGTAAGAAAGACCCCGAGAATGTCCAGCATCCATGCTCCTCTTCCCTAGCCCCCCCCAAGCCTTCAGGTCCCATTCTTCTAAGGGTTCATCTCTTAATAAAGCTTGTGCCGGGTGCAGTGGTTCATGTTTGTAATCCCAGCACTTTGGGAGGCTGAGGCAGAATGCGAAAGTTTGAGTCCTGCCTGGACAACTTAGTGAGACCCTGTCTCAATAAAATAAAATAAAATACAATGAAAAGCTTCTCCGTCTACTCTGATCCCTGTCTGTACCTGTGTCCTGCTGGTCTTTGCCAGCTCCTGACTGGGGCTGGGGGTGGGGTGGGGGTGTCTTACAGCAAACCCTGTATGAGAAGTGGGGAGAATACAGGTCCCTGATGGTTCAGGAGCAGCGGCTGGTGCACGGTGAGTAATAGCCTGGGGGTGTAACGGCCTCCCTGTCAGCATCTGGGTCTTGTGTTTTCCCCTTAGAACTAGTGAGCTACTGTCCCCTTGAAAGTGAAGAAAGGTTCTTTTTCTTTAAGGATTTCTTAAGAGACTACTCTGGGTGCTATGCTCCCCCTGGCTGAGGTGCACACAGTTTTGGCCCTCTGGACATAAGTGTTAGCATTATTTTCCAGTTAGGAACACCAAGGCTCAGGGAGCTTATTTCAATCCTGTTCAGCTCCCTCATGTTCCAAGTGGTCGTCACAAGGATTTGAGTTTGTAGTTCCAGTCTTACAGAGGGAGGTTGAGGCCACACAGATGGTCAACAGGAAGGTCTTGGGTCTCCCACCCACCGGTGCCCTGTGGCCCGGGCCTCAGGGGTCTCCCTGTGTCTTCTGCCCTGGCAGGCCTGGTGGTGAAGGACCCCAGCATCTATGACACGCTGGAGTCAGTGCGCTCCTGCCTCTATGGGGCTGGCCTGCTCCCCGGCTCGCTGCCCTTTGGGCCTCTGCTGGCAGTGCCCAGGGGTCCCCGCAGCGGCCCCCAGAAGGCCCGGAGTGACACCGACGACAACAACGCGGACGCCATCTACCACACCTGCTTCTTCCGGAGCGCTGAGACGCCCGCGCTGCTGCCACCTCCACTGCCTCCTGCGCACGCACGAGGTTCC